TGGCAAAGAAGGTAGGTAAGTAGATACCTACTCTCTACGCACGAGCGCCGTGCTGAGCAGCGCCTACAGATGGCTGGCGAAACGAGACTGCGGACAACATCTTGGCCTATCCCTGGCAAAGCACCACCAATGGAGAAGACGTCGCTCGTCCGTTGGCGATGTGGCACCCTGGTCTCCCTTACGCAGCAAGCAGGCAACTCAGCCCGGCCAGAACCCATGTCCCTGCTCATGTATTTATCCTTGACCCTAACCTTGACCATGTCCCTGTCGGCTGCTGCACTGTCAACCCTAACCCTGGGGGATCCATCGCCGCTGCCGCCGCCGCCGCCGCCGCTGCAAATTCCCGGACCCGGAGCGGCCATCGACCCTGAGTCCATGAACCCTGACACCGAACCCTGAAGTCGCGTTACTGCGCTGCGCAGCCACTGTACCCTGTGCTGGGCTGGACTCGGCAAACTGGGCATGTCCGGTCTGGAACTTTTTCGCGGCTGGCTGGAGCCCTGGAATCCGTCTAGCGAGCGGAGCGACCGACCACGGGCGAGCCGAAGCGAGCAATGTTCGTGCAGCAAGCGAACATTCTGTACGCCTTGCTGGGCTGGATCCATTTCCGTTGTTGGCCGGCAGCCCGCTCGTGTGAGATAGGGAGACCCCAAAGGATCTGACGAGCCACCGACGGCAAGTCGACGGACACCATCGCGAACGGCCTCCGGCATCTACCAAGGAGCCGGCGCGGTTGAAGAGCTGACGTCTGCATGAGCGAACAACGATGAAGAGACAGACAGGGCTCCGCTGTGATGATCTCATGTCAGGCAGGCAAGCAGGCCGTCCGCTCGTCGGACCGTTAGCAAAACACTTTGCAACCGCACGTGGTGCCGTGGTGTTGGTGGCCTCGCGGTCTTCAGTGCCATGGACGCCACGGGATAGCGACATTGCACCAACATGATGCGGGCGCAGAAAAAAGAGCAAGGAAAACGAATCGACGGACCGGTCATTGCGCGTGGCTGGCTGGCCGATTTTTCCAGGGCAGCTAATCAACCAGCAAACCGCTGCTATACTGGCGGTTTTTGAGGACCCGGGACGCGGCCGCCAGCATATGTCAGTGGGTGTGCGGACCTGCCGACGCGATGCTGCAGCTCGACCGGTGAGCAGGCATGGGTCGGCAATGATGGGGTTTGCATTCTGCAGCCATCTCTCGGATATACCTCGAGTCTTCGGAGGTACATACGGCGGCGGCAGAGAAATGTGTAGGGCGCCTGTACGTTGACTACGTGCATTCGACAACGTCTTTGCGACTTGGCGCATGGAAGATGATGGTGGCAGAATGGGGATGAAGATGTACGTCAGGATTACTTTGCTCCTCTGGGCAAGTCCATCGGCAGAGAGGCGAGCAATGCCGTGTGGCTTTTGTCTGACCACATCACGATCATCACGGTAGCAGGATGGTGGAGTTTTCCGGTCAGTTGTTCCCTTCATCTTCTTGCCCTTCTCCTTTTGTTCGGTGTCCCCGGCACCACACCAACAACAAAGCCACGATATATCCGCCTGTGGACAGGAAGCCGCCATGCAAATGCGTCTTCGCTGCAAGTCCAGGAGGAGACGCGTCGATCGACTCTGCGAGTTCAGAACACTGATCTGCTGGACAGGCGTTGGCTACGCGCAGGGAAGCAAGCAGGGACTCAGTCCGCCACGGTCACTCCACAGCAGCACGACATGTAACTTCTGCTCGCTCCAACTTTGAGAGACGTCGCATCATCGTGCTTTGATCACCGCTGCACTGCAGACATGTAGAGGGAGAGTATGCAAGCCATGCTGCTACTGCGCTGCTACACACCGCGGATGTCGTGTCACGCCGTTTTCTCCTCTTCTTTTCCTTCATATTTCTTTTCTTCTCGATTCTGCAGAAGAGGCGTTTTTGATGCATCGATCGACGGCTTGCACACACTGCGTTTCTTCATGTACGGGAAATGGAGATCTCTCGCGGGCTGCCCGGGTAGGCGGGTACCTGCGTGTGGGTGCGAGAGAAGAACGTTTTAAGAAACCAGAAGTGCAAGATTTCCTTTTGAAGTCGTTTGCTTGGCCTGCAGAGAATGCGTGCCCAGATGAAAACGAAGTGGCTCTATGGACGATGAAGTTGAGCACGAGTACCGGCGCTACTTCTTGTTCGGTTGAAAAGGGGGGATTTCTAGGGGGAACAAACATCACCACAAGCATTCTTTACACGGTACCCACGACCCTCCAAGTCACTGTCAATCCCACTCTGCTCTCCCCATTCTTCTTCGCAGTCAAATCCAGTCCCTTGTCCACAAACACCCTTCATCCCCGCCACTTCCCGTCCCGTTTGCTTCCCTGCCCCCGGCACGAACCCCAACCTCTTTCACAAGTAATCAATATTGCAGCTGCACGCATCCACCAGCACCACTGCTCGGAAGTACATTCCAACCAACGAGAAGACGTGCCGCATGAGTGACTCGCCTCGAGTCGAATCCCGTTATCCCGCGTCGACCTTCCTCGCTGCCAAAACCGACTCTTCTCCACGGCGTTGGACTACCTACAACCGGCCAGATATCCCGCAGACTTAGACGACTGCTAGTCGTTGGTTCAGACGCTTCCGCCTTATTGTGCTCAGCTTGTCCCAGTCTTTCCATCTAGATCGACGTGCCAGTCTACTTCCCGTTCTTGTCACTGATCCAATACCACAACGACCCGCCGCCGGCGCCGCCGCCCCTCACGCCGGCCCGTCCCTCTGCCTCCCTCCCTGCCTCTCCGATGGCCGCAGTGCTTCCTTGTGCATACAGCGCCGTTAAACCTTCGCCTTTCTCCATCCATCCATACGGCACATGCATGTGTCAAGTGTAGGTTCATACTTCATTGATTGATTGATTGATTGACTGATTGACTGATTGATTCATCAGTGCACACTGTAAGTTCTCCCCATTTTCCTGCCGCTGATTGAAAGAAGAGATGCGGCGTTGGTTGGAGTGGCCATAAACCAACGTTTGGAAGTGAACGAGACATGGCGTCGATGTACTCGACGGACCGCAATCCGGCGGCTTGACTCACGCAGCAGTCAGACAAGTTCGCCAGGACGCATGTCAGACCCTCTGTCAAGATATCCCGCCTTCTCCGCGGGGACGACAAGGCGTTGGATCGATCAATGACAGATGGGCCGGCCGACCGACCGACTGACCAACAGTGTGATGGATTAATCATGGGTTTTGAGCCATCCAGACACACACTGCATGCAACTACCGCCCATGTGTCACGAACCGCCATCCTTGGACGACCCTGTCGTTCTCTGGGGTAACCCTTGCTCGTCGAGTAACCCTGTTCGGGCCCTTTTTCGCTCGCCCGTCTCCCGGGTCGTCGTCGTGAGATATGCGAGAGACTTGCTTTCGCATGTCTCAGTCCACTCTATCTCGTCGTCTCGTCTTGCCTCGCCTTGTCCCTGCGCGATGACTTTGATGTGGTAGCGGCGGTGTTGGCCCTCGCTGCGTCTCGCAATTCATTTTTGGATCTCTTCGCCGAGGGACCGACGCAGTCCGCCGTCGTCCCTCTCTCTCTATCCATGTCGCGCGCATGTGAACCTCCGTAGCAGACGAAGCATCCTCCCTCGTAGCCGCGCGACGCCCCTCCACTCGCGAACCGTTGTCGAAATCCAAGTCCGCCCGCGCGGGACAACGGGACGGGAAATGCAGCGCAACTCCATGTCTCCCTGTCTTCCTGCACTGTACACTACCCGTGACAGGCCTATCTCCGCGCTTTCATGCGCGCCGTTTGTGCGTTTGTAAGTTGGATGGATGGATGGATGGTTGATGCATACGTACGCACAAAGTGACAAGGAGAGTCTACGGCGGCTCGTCGTCGGGTTTTTGCTTTATCGACTCCCAGGATAGAGTCGGGAATCTCGGGCGGCTCACGAACAAGGAAGTGGAGCCGCTGCCTTTGTAGTTGTGGTGGGATGTTCGCATGAACGCAAGGGGGGGGGGGGGGGGGGGGGGAGAGCGACGGGCTGATGGGCCAGTCTGAACATGATTGGATTGATAGGAAGGGACAGTTCTAAGCACAATTTGACTGACCAGGATATCAAAATGTTTGAATGAAGTCTCAGAGTTGCGGCGAGACAGAATAACGGATTTAATTATGGTCACCTCCCTTTTTCTCAAGTGTCCGAGTTTGCGATGCTTGAACAAAAGAATGAAAAGACATCAGTCAACGTCTCGCAGCAGGCGTCCTACGTCATCGACTCAAACTGACTTTATAGTCTGCTCCATATCTTCCCCGTCTGAATTGTTGTGATTTATCTTTGACGAAAACTCCTGGCAGTCTCTGCTGATGGTCCCCTGAAGGGCCGGTAGTAGAATTCAGACTGCCAAAAGCAACTTGTTTACTCTGCTTTGTCCTTTACCCTTAGAACGAGTTTCTCATACAACAATGAGCAATACGTGGAAACACCGAACATTCAGTTTGATTGTTTAACATGTAGAGCGTAGCAGAAGTAGCTGGTCACTTTCGACCAAGGACATGTCGATTCTAAAACCGGGCAATTCGATTGCGTTGCAATTTCCGTGATGCTTATATATGGCGGCGCTACAGGTGAGAAACGGGGAGTGCAAGATACTGCTCGAATCCTCGACCTTCAACACTGCTGCCTTACGTTATGCTCGCCGGACTTCGACAAACGGTGTGTAGACATTCGCCCACGTACTAGAGCAGATGGCCATGCTGCACGTCGTCCATCGGCAAGGAATCAGTATCTCCTACCAGTCTCCCTTTCCCCGACTTCACTTACAACCAAACAGCAAAGGCAATGCTCTTCAATCCCCACACATAGCTCTACTCAAGACCGAGACGTCGTGAGAAAGCACGCTTCTGTCCCACATCTTGCTTCATCCCAAGCAAAACGTCATCTCCACCTCATTCCAGACTTCTCCCCTCTCACCATCACATCACGGTGAACAAAAGAGCAAAAATCAACGCCCTGCCACTCCCGCATACCGAGCTGGTCACTACGAGGGTCGAACTCGCGACCTTGGCGTTAACTGGTGAAGCTCCTGGGGACAGGAACTGCCGTATTAGCACCACGCTCTAACCAACTGAGCTAAGCGACCCGGTGTTGTCATGAGAAGACAGGACGTTGATGGAACCGAGATTGCTCAGTGGCTTTAAGACTTGAACAACCAAAAGAGAGGAGGTTGAGGCACGCTTGGGAGCCTGAGGGAGCGCAAATGTGGTGGTGGAGCAGAGATTTTGTGCTGTTTGCCTGTTTGGGACTAGCGTCAAAGCGTAGTGTGGCCGAGAGGCAGCCGGCCGGATGAAGCGGAGACAGCAACGATGGCGTTGGGCGAACGAGAGACGCGCCAAGCGACAACCTCAGAAGACGAATCGGGTGTGCGGTTTCGGCTCTGCTGAGACGGCAGCTGAATGCTCCAAGGACGAATTGGGTTGAGGACTGACGGGAAGTGTGAACAAGTTTGATGGACGGGAAATGGGGACGTGAATAGACTATGTAGTAACTTTTCAATTCAACCCACAGCGACGAGGAGTCGGTGCCTGGGAAAAAGGCAGCGCGGCCCTGCGACTGACCACCAACTTAGGGCTGAAAACGGAGTTCCTGTAAATCTCATCCAAGCAAATTTTGCAAAACGAAGAAGATGAACGCAATAGCCGGGGGAGGCAAAATTAAAATTCTTACTCAAAGTGCGAACAAGAACAAAGAACTTGCGTGGGAGCGTACAACTGATGGAATGTGCAAGATCGACAAGAAATCCGAGACTCTACTGCTTCATCTTCTTGACCCGCTGCGCGTCGAATGACGACGGCAGGGTATGGCGGGCTGACTAGACTAAATATATGTGTACTGTGCCGTATCAAAAGACGAGAAACCAAAGACCGCAGGCGGCAGGAATGAAAGGAGAGGAGGAAAGATGGAGCCGCTTTCGTAATCAAATACGGTCAGCATGGTGGTATAAGATGCAAGGGTTTCGCTGAAACAGAAAGTTGAACGAGTAACCTCAAGACGAGCTGGAGCAAGACAAATGGAGTTTCGATGACCAGACGAAAGGAGAGAAGATAATTTTGAACGCAGATGTGACGCAGAAGGAGAGACAGAGGCTCCGCGCGGTCAAAGATCAAACTAGAAAAGGAACAAAGAAACGCAACAACTGCAAAGTTGCGGAAGGAGAAGAGGCGAGGACCCGATCAAACAGCTCTGAAGCTCATCTCGACTACTCCACAAACGGAGTGCGTCGTCAGGCCTACAGACTGTAGATCGTGGGTATCTGGGTATCTGCTCGATAGGAGATTGTGAGGGAAGATGGCGCGACCTTGGTCCCAACCAGTAAATGCAAACGGGACTACAATGTCCTTCCAAAAATGACAAGAACGGAACAGAAGAGGAGAAGGGCAACCCCGGAGAGCAGGAGCTACCGGGGGCAAAACAGTCGGGGGACATGAACGACCCTCACTAGGCCCTGGTTGAAACAGACCTAGTGTAGGTACCCGCCGCAAGCGCCTGCCAACTAGCTGCTCATGCTAGTCTCGACTGTGACCCTGGCCACCATCGTCAACTTTTGCGGAAAAAGGAAAGCCGTGTTGCCGAAGCGTCATCCAAGGAAGGGGTGATTCTGTAAAAGTGCCGATTCGAAGCCCAGAAAGGTAGCAGTCCGCTCACAGTGCAAACGAGGCAGCCACAAACAATCGCACTGCATCAGACTACTCCTTATTCTCGGCAGATTCGCTCCCCGCACTCGCCGTCGCGAAACTGCTGCCCTGGGCCTGCGTAGTGTCGCTACCCCCAACACTGTTGTTCCTGTCCACACCCTCGGGATGGTCATTTTCACCATTCTTGCCCTCTAGTCCTGAAATGGCTAGACCCTTTTGCGGGTCTTCATCCACTTCGTCAATCCGCGACGGGTTGATGCCATTTTCTTCAGAACCTTCTTCTCCGGCCATCAACGCTGGCGGCCTCTGCTGCATGGCCCGCGCCTTGCTGAGGGAAATGGTCTTTTGTTGGTAAGTGCTGATGACCTCTTTGCTGTCGTCACGGTCGATGGTTGCCTTTACCAGCGCGGCCATCCAGTCGCGCCCTTGCTGTAAGCTGTCAACAGCAAAGTAGTGCACGGTCGGTTTTGTGAAGTTGACGGCCTTGGACAGGCCGCTGCGCGGCGGGACGAGCTTGAAAATGAACATGCCCGACGTGTCATCCTTGCCTTCTCCAGTTGATGCAGATGTCGGAATCGATGCATTCAGAGGCGAGCTGGGCGAGGACTTGGCCCCGGTCATTGCAGCGTGTAAACCAGTAATGCGCTCGTCATTTGCAGGTAGTACGCGGTGGCCTGAAATGTCAATGAGGCCCCTTTCGGCAATGTCATCTTCGGCGTAGTAGTAAGAGAGTCGACGTCCGCGCAAAACGAAAAGGCGAGTCTTCCAAGTCGTCATGAGATTGGAGGAGCGCTTCTTCATCCATCCGCTGTAGTCGCATCCTTTAATTTGTTCCGAAGGAGGCTTCTGTTCCAGGCCGCGCTGATAAGCGCTCGTCTCCTTTTTCGACTTGCGTCGGGGTGCTGCACCAGAAGTGGTAGATGGCATGGAAGCGCTGGTTCCCTGCCTCAAAACGTCGGGTGCAGGTTCCCCATCCAAACTCTTGGACCCATGCGAGGGCGTGCCGCTAGAGGTGGTGCGCACTGGAGAATTCAAAGGAGAATCCTTCACTGGCGAAGGCGGCGGTTTCCTAGCACCACTCAAAGTTCCTGCAAGCGCGTCTGAAATGGCTCTCAAGCCAGTTGCGCGTTGCTCCTTGGGATATCTCTGTATAGCCGGAGGAGGCGATGCCCTTCCCTGGGAGGATTGATCGCTGCCTTCCAACAAGTTGGGCGAAGAGGCAACCGCATCGATGCTCGGGGTTCCGTAGTCCAACTTAGTGACAATGTTGGCTCGTTCCTTGATTGGTTTGGGACCATGGCGCAACTCTGGACCACTTGCAGTGCGCGAGTTCTTTGCCCGATTCGACGGGAAAAAGCTTTTGCCAGAGAGCGCTGCTTCTGTGTAATCACGGATGGAATCGCTACTTCCAATGCGACTGTGGCGCCTAAATGTTGACAGACGCCTCCCGCCTTCATGAGAGAAGCTTGACTCTCTCGAGTGGCTTGAGCTGGGAGCCTTGCGCAAAACGTTCTTTTGCTTGCGATTATCAAGCTCGCCTCCTGAAAAGTAGCCCCGGTCCAGGTCAGGCGTAATCACTTTCAAAGCACTCTCCCGAGGACTGGACTCGGTTGTATCCGGTCTAGCGCCGCCATTGAGCTGGTCTCCCATCGACCATCCCTGATCAAATGAACCCTGCTTCTTGTGCGACTGCGGCGTAGGCACGGTAACTTTGACAGGGCCGGCAGTTTTCGGCGTCGAACCTCCGGCGGCAAAGTCGATGGAAGAGTGCCGCCGGCTGTGGTTGAGATCCCTCACGGATGCGGCCGACGGGCGGCGGGAGTGTTGTGCCTGTGATGAAGAGGGGGTCCCTGGCGCAGGCGCTGTGTCCGAAGCCTTTTTGGAGTGTTGCGACGAACTTTGCCTCGAGTGGCGCTGTTTGCTGGATGGCCTTGCCCCATTGGACTCCATCAGACTCGGGATCCTCGGTAGGACGGTCCCTATCGAAGTGCTGCGATGTCGAGTATCCGAAGGTCGTCGGCTTGACGAAGAGCCATCCGTAAAGGCCTGGGAATTCCGCGCCAACTCTGCAACTTCCTCTTGCAAGCTCCGAATCTTTTGCCAGATTTTGAGGCGTGGACCGATGGGACCCAGATCAAACTCCTTCATGAGCAGCGTTTGCTGGTCCATTCCCAGGAGCACCTCGCCCGAAATTTCTTGCTCCTTGAATACATTGCATTGCCGAGTGTCAACACCCTCGTCTTCCAGCCACTCGGCGACTCGTGCGGGCGTCCAGGCTCGGACTTCGAAGAGTGTGTATAGGCCTTGCTCCTCTTCGTCGGTCTCGTGTCCGTTGATGTAGGATAAGCGGTGGTCGACGTGGCTGCTGCTATACTCGCTGGAACTGTCGCCTCCAAATCGTAGAGATCGCTCGTGGCTCGTACCGCGGGGAGTGTTGATGTCTGTCAGATGCTCATCTATTACATTTAGAGTCTCATTCATGACTGGGCTCCTCTGGTCTCCTGGAATCAAACCTCTGTGGCCTGCGCTCGGAAGGGATGCTTGGGTATTGGCTCCGGCGGTTGCCTGACCAATGGCACTTATTGTAGGTGGGTTGGACTGACCAGTGGAATCATTGGGGCCTGTATCCAGGGAATCGGCGAGGGACGACGACGTCTGTTGTCGCTCCAAGCCGGCATTGGTGGCCTCGTCCGCGGGTGGGGGTGGAAGGTCCTTGGAGGAATCAGCCGCAGGGTGGGCATTGGGTTTGGAGCGAAAGACTGGAGAGAAGCCGGTGCGCGGAGCCAATTGCGTGTAGACTGAGTCGCAAAGTCAGGGCGGCACAAGCTTGGTGTCACAGGCGCGGAGCTCACCTTCGGGGAAGAGACCAGTAAGGCCGTTTTGCTGATGCCTGCCGAGGAACCAGCCGTCGCCAAAGTCGTCGTCGCGCTCGATGAGCTGTATGCGGTCGCCGCGCTTCATGGTCAGCTCATCGGGGCTGCGCGCGGTAAAGTCATCTATGACGGGCGGGCGACGTCAGCAGGCGGCGGGACAACTGAAGCAAGCAGACGGACGACTTACGGATGACGAGCAGCGTGTCTCCAGGGCGAGCCTGGTCCGTCTGGGGCCGCGACATTGCCGGGTATGCGGAGCGAGCGATGGGAGGACGTTGGGTTGGGGGAGGCGTGGGAGGCGGAGGAGAGGCGCGTCCCGTCGGAGAGGGAGAGATGAGCTGGGGACGATCACAAGGGTCGGGGTCGGGGTTGGGCGAGGGCGGCAGCGGGCATGGCTTCGCGGCGAGGGGGAGTAGTCGCGGTCGCGGGCGAGATGGAGGAGAGGAGAGAAGAGGAGGCAGAAGATGTGGTGGTTCGAGGAGGCGGTGGTTGTGGTTGTCGTGGTAAGGTCAGGTAGTGCTCGGCTGGTCACGACTGTTTGGGTTGGTTGGCTGGTGGGTGGGCGGCACGACGGG